TTATTTGATCTTATTTTATTTTATTTTGTTAATTTTACTTTGATTTATTTTATTTTATTTAATATTAAATTTTTTGTTGTGATATTTTTTATTTATTTTTTTTATTATGTGTTTTGTTTTATTTTTTGTTTTTGTTTGTTAAAATCACTCAGGACATCTTAGCAATCACTCTATCATTATGATGATGATGATGATGATGATGATTTTTGCATGTGCAAGAACCACCAGGTGTCAATGAGATAGCCATAATGGCAAATAATGCAAATGCATGAACTGCGTTTAATATATGTAATTAGTCCCGTGACTTTTATTCAGTAAGGATGCCTTGAATTCATCAAAAGTGACAGACAAAATATTTCTATTTCAAGTAAATGCTGTTCTTTTGGACATTCTATTCATCAAAGAGAAAAAAATATCCACAGCACAGCTAATAACAGATAATAATCAGAAATGAGTAGCAAATCATCATATTAGAATGATTTCTGAAGGATCATGTGACACTGAAGACTGAAGTAATGAGCTTTGAAATCACAGGAATAAATTCATTTTTACAATTTATTCAAACAGAAGACAGTTATTTTAAATTGTAATTATATTTCACAATATTACTATTTTTATTGTATTTTTAACCAAATAACTGCAGCCTTGGGGAGCAGTAGAGAGTTTTCCTTCAAAAACTTAAAAAAAAATCTTACTGACCCCAAACTTTTGAATGCTAATATAGATTGACAAACTGATGTCTGTCAGTTGATGACAGACAGAGCGATGTGCCACAAAGTACTACAGTATTACACTTTTACTTACAGTTGGCTTGCTTACAGTTGTTTCTGCATATTAAACTGAGATGGAAATGATATTTTTTTAAAAACACAGTTCACCTTAGGAAACGATAACCTATTTGCCTTCCAGAAGATGATGTTAACCAGTGATTTGTGTTGTAATGGTAGGCGCGGCACTGAGCGATCTATCATTCTGACACAAAATTTATTTTTGACTGTAGAATAGAATATTCAATCAATGAAACGCAGTGTATGTTATTAGCTGCTGCTGCATTTCTGTTTTCTTTCCTGTTCTTTAGAGAGAGTTTTGTACTGCATGTTTGGAAGCTCTAAAACACTAATTTCCGATGTTAAAAATGACTTAAAATGTCACTGTACTTCAGTATTATAGATCAGATGGCATGATTGAGTTTATTTAAATGAAGCTGTTATTATGAAAGGCGTTGTGCTCTTGTGTGCCTCAAATTTCCACAACAATAATACAGAAACATGGGTAATGTTGGGGTTGAGTAATTCTATATCACAGTAACGGTTTATATGATCATCCACCGTTGGCTATTTTTCATAGAAAAGTAATTAATGTATAAATAACCATGTGTTAATGCTTAGTTACACTACCACTTTGTTTTTGTGTTTTATTCTCAGCAAGGCTGCATTTATTTGTTAAAAAGTACAGTAAAAACTGTAATAATGTGAAATATTATTACTGTTTTAAATAACTGGCTTCTATTTGAATGTGTTTTAAAATGTAAATGATTCCTGTGATGCAAAGCTGAATTTTCAGCATCATTATTCCAGTCTTCAGTGTCACATGATCCTTCAGAATCATTCTAATATGCTGATTTGCTGCTCAAGAAACATTTTTGATTATTATTAATGTTGAACACACTTGTGCTGTTTCATATTTTGTGGAACACGTGATACATTATATATTTTTAGGATTATTTAATGAATATAAAGTTCAAGATAACAGCATTTATTTGAAATATAAATCTTTTGTAACATTATAAATATCTTAACTGTTTTGATCAATATAATGCATCATTTCTGAATAAAAGTATTAATTGATTTAAAAAAAATAATAATCTTGCTGACCCCAAAGTGTATGTATTATCCAGTTAATTACTACAATCAGATCAGACACATCCCACTTTATATTTTCATATCTCTCTGTTTTCATGTTCAGTCTCACATTTAAATAATAAAAAGCAGTTCTACTCATTGATAGCAGTGCATTGATGCATGTACCGCGGTATCAACAATATAGTAAAAGTTTCTAATGCAACATATTGTAAAGAATCCAGTCCACTGAAGGCGAGCGTAGTGAGAACCCAAGTGCAGTTTTGTTCAAACAAGGTGAAATCCAAAATCCAAACATAATCCATACAAGATACACAGACTTGACTTGACGAGGCATGAACAGATTTGACGAGGCACAGACAGACTAGACTCACCAACAGCGGGTTACAACTTCAATACACGACAAGGCACAATGGGAACATGATGGCTACTTATACCAGACAAGGAGGGTCACATGACATGAACAAACCAATGGGAAACAAGACACATGACTAAGACTACCAATCAGAACATGACACATACACAAGGCAGAGATACATGAGGGCAAGGGAAGCATGACACTGACAGCATGAAACCTGGCTTGGCAGACATGATGTGATCAGGCTTTGACTTGGTAGATATGACATGAGTAAACTTTGACTTAACTGGCATGATGTGAGCAGGTCCTGGAGTAGCAGGCATGACGTGAGCAGGCTGTGGTTTGGCAGACATAATGTGAGCAGGCTTTGGCATAGCAGGCATGACGGGAGCAGGCTGTAGCTTGGCAGGCATGACGTGAACAGGCTTCGGCTTGGCAGGCATGACGTGAGCAGACTTTTGGGAAGTGTCATGTTCCTTCTCCATGACACCCACAGTGAAAGCAGATCCACTCAACTGCAGAGCAAAGTCTATATACTGTTCTAGTGACCAGTGTGGGGTATTACGTGGCATTAAACGTGGCATGTCCTTACTTAAACCAAAGCGAAAAATGTCCTTAAGGAACGTTTCATTAAAATCTACGTGGTGACAAAGCCCACAATAGTCTTCCACATACTCCTCAATGGAGCAATTACCTTGACGGAGGCGAACAAGATGATCTGCTGGGTTCATTTTGAGGGTCGTATATTCTGTAAAGAATCCAGTCCACTGAAGGCGAGCGTAGTAAGAACCCAAGTGCAGTTTTATTCAAACAAGGTGAAATCCAAAATCCAAACAAGATACACATTGAAGTGACACATCCTCATTTTCATGCATGTCAGATTAAATATGCCGTCCGCTGTGACCAAAGTCTGTCATCAGTCTGTCTGTCCATCTGTTGATTCAGTAAAGCTCACTTGCATTATTAATGTCTCCAGTCACATTAAGCAGTTATTTTTCAGCAGCGCATTATAAACCGATTGTATCTGTTGGCCCTGATGAGAAACTCTTCATCTCTCCGTTACAATGAAGGAGTCAAATGTCCTCCAGATCGGTGGCAGTGCCGTGATGTTAGCGCTCGCTCACACTATTTATCTTAGTCAATCAGAAATTAATTCGCCCCGCTTGAGATTAAAGGATGATTAATAAGGCTTCTGATGCGTTTACACAGCCAGAGCCTTTTAAGACGACTTACAATTCAGTCGCTGATATGCAGTAGCGCTAATGAGATGTCAAACATCTGACAGACGCTCACACATGAGGGGTCAGATGTTAACATCGCCGCATGCGCTTTCATGTTGGAAATTAATAATAAGAAACTTGTCCAATCTACTTCAGCTGATGACTTTTGACACTTGATATTGAAGCATTGGCTGGTGTTTCTCAAGTGTCGCCGCATGACAGTTTGATAATGTTGGACATTAGACCACCTAGCAGAACAGGTATTTACATTTACATTTACATTTACATTTAGTCATTTTGCCGACGCTTTTATCCAAAGCGACTTACAATTGGGGAATACATAAAGCGATTCTTCTTAAAGAGGCAAACAGACACAGGAAGTGCTTGAAATACCAAGTTTTAGGCATTGTTCAAATAAGACTTCTGGAGGGGATGTAGATTCGTAGTAGTGAGTGGAAGTAGGCAGGTGCTGAGCCTGTGGCTGAGCACATAAGGTATAGTCACATGAGGTATAGTCAACGTGAAATAAAAAATAGATTTTATGTATTTATTTTAAATTATTTAATTTCTTAATACACGTTCCTGGTCATGTGAATGTTAATTAAAATACATTTATTTATTTATTTGTATTTATTTATTTATTTTAAATATAGCCTTTCATCAAATGAATTAAATTGCTTTTCCTCAGAACATCATCTTTGACAGTAATAATGTTAATTAGCTATAATATAAATAATCTGCTTAAATTGTATTTTATGTTGTAGTATGTTGCTGTATTTATTTATTTGTTTGTTTTTCAAAAATACGCATATAACCATAGAAAAATAAAAACTCAAAAAAAGCTTTTAATACAAAACAAAAAGTGGTTTTTAGAAGTCGCTATAGATTGCTTGCTTTATTTGCATCTTATGCATCTTGAGACTCCTACTCCTGTTGGGAAATGTTAGGAAAAAATTACAAATTGTACAGACCAGTGAGTGAACATGACTGCTACTCATATGATGTCATATTACAGATGTGAAATGATCTGGACATTCAATGCTTTGAATCTGTTCATCTCGATTTGATTGCAGATTGTCATTTTGCAGTGATTTGAGTCTCTCCGTTCTGTTCTTCTGTTCTTCATCTCCATTTGCTCTTTCTCCTTTTCTTCAGCAGTGACACAGTTAGAGAAGTATATGAAGATTTCTTGTTCTCTCTCATAGTTCATTAGCAACGGCCTTTATTGAGCTAAGTGAATAGAGCGTCTTTTAAGCTCTCTAATATCCTCCTAATGTGGTCTCAGTGTGGCGGAGTTAAAGACCTGTGATTAAGTTTATCATCTGTAGTTTATGTGCTTCTTCGCTGCACTCTAAACGTAGCTTTAGTTCTTTGTCAGGAATGACATTATTCTGTGTTTAACTGGCTGTGTTTATGGTTCATTTACAGGCTGTGGTTAAGAACAAACGCGCTCATTTAAATATGATAATGAATGAAAATGAATGGATAGAGTGTGGCTGTGATCTCATTGCACTAGTTTTCATTGAATAGACAGTGGTTGACGTAAGTTTTCTCTGATTTCAGAGTCTTCCTGCGAGCCATCAATCAGTACGCCGCCGTGCTCAGCAAGAAGTTTCTTGATCAAACCAACTTTGAGCTGCAGGTGAGACTTCAACTTCAGCAAATCTGTTGGAACAAACAAGGAGATTTTGGTCCCCATCCACTGTCATTATATGCTAAATCCCCAGATGTTTAATGCAAGAAAAAATATCAGTGTGGATTGACATGAGGGCAAGTTGATGTATTCCTGGTGCATGTGCATTATATATATACAGTATCTCACAGAAGTGAGTACACCCCTCACATTTTTGTAAATATTTTATTATATCTTTTCATGTGACAACACTGAATTTATTTATTTTCATGTTTATTTATTTTTATTTTATTTTATTTTATTTGTAAATTGTTTTTTTGTTTGTTTTTTTACATGTTTTCAATTGCCATAATTTTAGATAATAATGTTAACTGGCTGTAATGTTTATACTCTGTTTATATTGGGTTTTATATTGTAGTATTTTTAAAATTATTTTATTTTATACAATTCGGTTTCTTAATACATGTTCCTGGTCATATGCTTGTTGTTTAAAATAAATTTAGTTAGTTACATGTAATGTAAATGATCATGATTATTGTGAAGTGTTTACTTCATCTATGCTTTCAGCATTTCATTTGTTGTCATTTAATTATATAGCTTTGTAAATATTGTAATAATACCAGCTAAATTGAGTCTAATTTTGTGTTCAATGCAAGAAAGAATATCAGATTGAACATTTTTATTTGAACTATCCTTTTAATATCTGTATAATGCATTAAGACTAGAAGTGCTACCGGAAAGCAATGAAAACAAATGTATAGTCTTATTTATGAAAAGCATGTTTTTTAATCATCACGTTCGGCCTTGAGTTAGAGGAAGTTCCAGCAGGGATCATTAAATTTCTCTACCAGAATAACTCATGACAGGCTAATAGGCTGCAATTTCCCAGCATCTTATTTGAATATTTGAAGCGGCTCTTCTCTGAGCTTTGTGCTCGTGTTGGTTGTTGCCGTTTGGTGGTTATTCTTATCCCGCTCCTTGTTTTACCCATGAACCCATCTGGTGATGCACGCTTTGGCTTTCAAGAGACAATGAATTAATTTTAAATAATTGTTGAGTGACATCAGCTCTTCTGTGCTCTAAATAGCAGTGTGTGCACAGACTGTTGCTCATACTTATTGTTCATACTTCACTCAAATCTTTCACACTAAGTATTAAGCTGGTCTGCATAACCCATCCCTCATTCTTTGTGTTATAAAAATGAGTGATTCCTCAAATGACTTGAGTATTACTTTACTAAGTGATCTCTCCTTTTTTCTCTCAGCTGTGGAATAACTACTTCCACCTCGCTGTGGCATTCCTTACCCAGGAGTCTTTGCAGCTGGAGAACTTTTCGAGTGACAAACGGGCCAAGATCTTCCACAAGTAAGCATTGATATCACAGACACTTACCCACAATGCACTGCTGCATAATACTATCACATTAAAGGAATCGTTCATTCACCCTCAGGCCATCCAAGATGGAGATGAGTTTGTTTCTTCATCAGATTTGGAGAAATGTAGCATTCCATCACTTGCAGTGAATGGGTGCCGTCAGAATGAGAGTCCAAACAGCTGATTAAAACATCACAATAATCCACAAGTAATCCACACCACTCCAGTCCATCAGTTAACATCTTGAGAAGCCAAAAGAAACAAATCCATCAAGACATTTTTGAGAACATTTAGAGCAAATTTTCATGTTTGAGTGAACTGTTCCTTTAAGGAGGCAATAACACGAGAAGAGTCAGTAATACAAAGTTGTAAGAAATAATGAATGCATGTAAGTTTTATCTGGTGGGGCTGAGAAAGGTAGAGGAAATTTGTTTTCATGAAAGCATGCATTGCTGTTTAAAGCTTTCAAGAGCGAGAGACAGCAGGACTGAGTGATAGAGAGCAGTGAAGAGCCTGTTATCAGCTCCAGGAGCTTCTGTCTGTCTGCTGTCTGTGTTTGCCTGTGGCATGAGCTCATTCTCGTAGAAACGGAACACTGTCTGTCAGGAGTCTTCAGCCTCTGGAATCACACGGCCTCTCAAGCAGCTTCTTCTCAGGAACACGAGCACATGTTTCCAAAACCACCCATTTTCTCAGGACATGCGGTGCTGGTGTCAGTAATGGCACCTCTTTCTTGAAGGCGCTTTTGCTTTAAGATTGTGGGTGAATTTACAAGAATTGAATAACCAGCGATCTCAGCACCTCAGCATATGATAATTCCATATACAATATTTTTTAGATAAATGGGACCAATACAGTATTAGATCGGATGATATCAGCCTGATAGCGGTCTTTTTTAATATATCCATTTATTGGGTATTGAATTATTATTATTGTTATTGCTTAATTCCCCATCATCTAGCACAAACTTAGAAAGAGAAATTGAAAGATGTAACCCTTAAAGAGTGTCTCTTAAAACAGTCTCGTCTTTTAAAGGGGTCATAAGATGTTGCTAAAAAGAACATTATTTTGTGTATTTGGTGTAATGAAATGTGTTTATGCAGTTTAAGGTTAAAAAAACACATTATTTTCCACATACTGTACATTATTGTTTCTCCTCTATGCTCCGCCTTTCTGAAACGCTGTAGATTTTTACAAAGCTCATCGGTCTGAAAAAGC